CTTTTTTTGGGTAGGCATTCTAGAGTTTGTAGTATCCATTTACAATTAATACAAGTCTGCTTTCAAATAATTCTTCATAGGTAGTGTTAGTATCATATACTTAGAAAATCCCAATTTCTTCCTCCCACTTCTTGTATCATTGCTGTCATTCATTTGACTTAAATTTAAGCATACATAATTGAATACATTGTTGCTATTATTACTTTGAATAAATTCTTATCTGTTAGATAAATTAAGAATAAGGGCCAGGCGCGGTGGCTCAAGCCTGTAATCCCAGCACTTTGGGAGGCCGAGACGGGCGGATCACGAGGTCAGGAGATCAAGACCATCCGGGCTAACACGGTGAAACCCCGTCTCTACTAAAAATACAAAAAATTAGCCGGGCGTGGTGGCGGGCGCCTGTAGTCCCAGCTACTCGGGAGGCTGAGGCAGGAGAATGGCGTAAACCCGGGAGGCGGAACTTGCAGTGAGCTGAGATCCGGCCACTGTACTCCAGCCTGGGTGACAGAGCGAGACTCCGTCTCAAAAAAAAAAAAAAAAAAAGAATAAGAAAAATAAAAGTTTTCAATTTTACCTTCATTTATTCCTTCTTCAGTGTTCTTTCTTTCTATATGTAGCTTTGAAATTCTGACCTATGTCTTTTTCCTTCTCTCTAAAAAAAAATCAGTTTAATATTTCTTGTAATATTGTTCTACTGGCAACAAATTCCAAATTTTTGTTTGTCTGTGAAAGTCTCTTTCTCCTTCACTTTTGAAGGATAATTTCACAGGTCATAGGATTCTAGGTTGGTGGTTTTTTTCTCCCAAACCTTTAAATAAATTTCACTCCGCTCTCTTCTTACTTGCGTAGCTTCTCTAGAAAAATCATTTGTAATTCTTATCTTTGTTCTTCTATAGAGGAGTGTTTTTTTCTTTTTCTCTGTCTTCTTTCAATAGTTTTTCTTTTTCTTTTTTCTCCCTGTCGTTATTATTTTGCATTTGTCCTGCTTGGTGTTCTCTGAGCTCCCTAGATCTGTGGTCTGTGGCTTGGTTCCTGACATTAATTTGGGAAAATTTCAATCATTATTCTTTCAAATCTTCTGTTTCTTTCTCTCTTTCTTCTCTATCTGGTATTCTCATTACAAATATGTTATACCTTGTGTAGTTGTTCCACAATTCTTGAATATTCTTTTCTGTTATTTTTCAGTCCTTATTCTCTTTGCTTTTCAGTTTTTGAAGTTTTTATTGACATATCCTCAAGTTCAGCGATTCTTTTCTCAGCTGTGTTCAGTCTACTAATAAGCCCATCAAAGGCATTCTTGGTTTCTATTACAGGTATTTCTTTTATCTCTGGCATTTCTTTTTAGATCTTAGAATTTCTATCTTTCTGCTTGCATTGCTCATCTGTTCCTACAAGCTGTCCACTTTGTTTATTAGAGCCCTTCATATATTAATCATAGTGGTTTTAAATTCTCAGTCTTAGAAGTCCAGCATTCCTGCTGTATCTGATTCTGACACTTGCTCTTTTCACCCAAATTGTGTTTTTTGCCTTTTAGTATGTAATTCTTTCTTTCTTTCTTAATTGTTGCTCTTTTTTTGCTTTTTTATCTAGTGACAAAGTGTAATTGATTCATATTGGCCTGGCCTGAACTCTATTCTTGGATCTTTTCTCTATCTTACTCCTTCTTATAGTGATCTCAAGTCTGTTTAAAGTCCATGCCTTTAAATAGTTATCTATATGCTAAAGCTCCCAAATGTACATCTCCAGTCAATTCTACTTATTTTTTCTTTAAATTTTTATAGTTTACTGCCCACCTGACATCTTCACTTGGAAATGTAGTAGATATCTCCAGCTTAACATGTCCAAAACTAAACTTTTGATCCTTTCCACCAAACCATGTCATTTGGTAACCTCATTCTTCTCCTTGAGTCAGAATTTTAGATTTGTTCTTGTCTCTTCTCTTTCTCTCATGTCTCTCAAATCTTTCACAAAATTGTCTTTATTGCTATGCCTTCAAAATACATCCACTTCCATAATCTCCATTATTATCCTAGTTCAAGCTGCTGTTATTGCATGTATGATTTACTACCTTGTCTAGCCTTAAGCAAAAGTTAAAACATGCACAATTTCTGCTTAAAACCCGCTAATGGGTTAAAATCACTCAGATTAAATGCCAAAATGTTTGCAATAATGTACAAGCCTCTACATAATCTTCCCCCTTCCCTCCGAATGTCTCCAATATCTGCTCTTCATCACTTGCTCCAATCCAAGCACCCTATCCTCTTTGCTGTTCTGTGAACATGTGAGATGCACTGCTACCTTGGGGCCTTTTCACTTGTCTTGGAACCCTTCTCTCTGTGTTTATCAGCTTGGAAAAACATCTCATTCAATTCTTTCTGAAATGTCACCTTCTCAATTTGTGTTATCTAGTCTAACCACCCTATATAAAATTACAAAATGCCCTCCTCTTCTGGCATTTTGATTTTCTTTTTTCTTGTTCTATTTTACTAAATATGTAGTGTATATATAGCCACTAGCTGTATGTGGTTATTTAAATGAATTTAAAAGAAACATGTTTAAATTTTAGATTCTCATTATACTATCCAGATTTCAAATGCTCAATAGTCATGTGTAGTCTAGTGGCTACCAAATTGGACAGCACTGATAGAAGAGCATTCCATCATTTTAGAGTTCTATTGGACAATACTGTTCTAAGTTTTATAAGAACAATTAATCTTGTTGCAATTTCTCTAACCTTCAGTATGAATTGTATACTGATATCAGCTTCATCTTCCTAAAGTATTACTTCCATCATCAGAGCAGAATGTAGTATTGGGAGACAGTGAGAGCACTGGAGTCAGAAATATCTTCTTTTAAGTCTCAACCGTGGTATTTGACACTTAATTTAGATTTTTTTTACCTCTGTTTTCTCAAATGAAAATGGAGGTAATATCTTCTTGGCAGAGTTGTTTTCTATTATATAGTATATGTGTTCCTGGGAAAACCTTGTGCTGTGCAAAATCATGGACTAAAAACAGCAGAGCTCTGGAAAAAAAGGTTAAGAAAGACCGTTCAAAACTCATGCAGCTTTGAAAACTGAAGAGTAAAAATTAAAATAACACAATTAAAAAGTCATGTTAAATTTTAAGCAATAAAAATATTTACTATATAATAGGAGTCTAAAATAAAATGAAAGTATCTAGATGAAAGGAGTATATCTAGATGGAAAGAAGGATAAGTCTGCAAAGTTATGAACTCAAGGGGACGATCCACAAACACCAGTAAAGACTCACTCAGTACATATATCTAAGACAGAGTTTGTGACCAAAGAGCCAAGAGGAGGAACATGAGATTCTTGGGATGAATGGTCATTGTGTGCAGTTCTGTATTTCTCTGGTTTGCTGCATCCCGCTGTGTTAGTGTACTTTACATTCAGCTGCAATTATTTGGAAGTTGTAGTGGCCATTGTTGATGTTCCACCCATATCCCCTTTACCAGCTCATTTACTCATCCAGTTACAGAGAGTGTTGGTTGTTAACAACTCACAGCTGTCCCTCTCTCTGGAGAATTGCCTGGTCAAATGGAAACCGCCTCATCCATAAGGTTAAACACCTTGCCGACTCTCCACTGGCAGTCTTTAGCCAGTAAGTGGCTAGCACAGGAATACAAAAATCCAGGCCTCTTACCTCAAAGTCAGACCAACCCTGGGCAATTGTTCATGTTTCAGAGCATACAGTTAGATCAGACTGAGAATACATCATTGCTTAGTTTCTTCCCTTTTTTCTTACCCTATTCTGCTCTTCTCCTCTTTCCTGAGGACACTACTTCACTTATCTATGTGCATGTGAATCTTTGTTTCTAGGGAATCTAATGTGAGACAATACTGTAAAACATTATCAGGATAGGAAATATCACATATGAACAGTTGTTTCTGAGTTATTTCTGAAACAAATGTTGTAACAGAACACTTTTTTAAAGTGCATAGCAGAGTTCCTAGCACATAGTAAAACGTCAATTAATAATAGCCACAAAGAGTATGATGAAGGTAATGGTGGTGGTGGTGATAATATTACTTCCTGCTCAGAAATGTTCAGGCTCTTTCCATTACCAACCTCATGATGTTTTAGATATCTACAACTTGAGTCAAAGTTACTTTTCCTGCTCATTTCCATACTGCTGCCCCACATTGAACTGTTGTTTTTCTACCAACTTAGAAGTCCTTCTACTTTCCTTCCATCTGTCCACATACCAATTGCTTTCTAGTACTCTTTTAGATAGTATCTCTTCTAATATTCTTTGTGTAAATGTGTCAGATCATTGGGCTGTTACTTTCCTCTGATTTGTCGTATTTTTATTCTCAGACTTCTACTGTATATCAGCCCTGTCATATACTGTAAGAAAAATGGTAGCCAGGTGCAGTGGCATGGGCCTGTAGTTCCAGCTACTTGGGAGGCTGAGGTGGAAGGGTCATTTGAGGCTAGCCTAAGCAACATAGTGAGACCTCCATCTCATTAAAAAAAAAAAAAGCAAAAACCATTTACACATGTACTACAAATGGTATTCAGGGTGTTTTCTAAAACTTTTATCACTTAAAGAAATGATCTTAATGTTTAGGAGTTTTTTATGAGCTTAATAATTTTAAATAATAATTGTTAAGAATTATTTGAAGCTTTTCTAGGTCATTGAAGAGATGAAAATATTTTTAGAATAAATTTGAATCTTTTATTGGAGATAGTTAACTGTATATAAAATTTTACTCTAAGTTTATATAAAAGCTTTACCCAGCACAATGCCTTAGATATAGTAACTATCTAAATATTTGGATATCTGTCATTCCTTTTTAATTTATGTATTCATAAAATGTTTTGTCATAATATTATGGTTTATTCTTTATACTTTATATTTAATATATTAGAAGTCTTTCAACTTCACCAACATTTTGTTTTTGAGTAAAGTACAAAAGACACAAAGGACTTAGTGTGTATATATAACTATAATATTTGTTATTTTTATACCTTTAGATTATCGACATGATGGTCGAGATCTTCAAAGCTCAACATTGTCAGTGCCAGAACAAGTAATGTCATCAAACCATTGTTCACCATCAGGGTCTCCTCATCGAGTAGATGTTATAGGAAGGACTAGATCATGGTCACCCAGTGTCCCTCCTCCACAAAGGTAAGATAGACTACTCATTTTATTTGTAGGGTGGCTGTATTACTCAGAGGGACAAAACTAATAGGATATATGTATATATGAAAGGGAGTTATTAGGGAGAATTGGCTCATGTGATTATAAGACAAAGTCCCACCATAGGACTTCTGCAAGCTGGGGAAGGGAGAAGCCAGTAGTGGCTCAGTCTGAGTGTGAGTCCATTTTGAAAGCCTTAAAACCAGGGAAGCCGACAGTGCAGCCTTCAGTCTGTGGTCAAAGGCCTGAGAGCCACCAGCAAGCCACCAGTGCAAGTTCCAGAGTCCAAAGGCCAAAGAACCTGGAGTTGGGTATCCAAGGGCAGGAGGAGTGAAAGGAGTTAACCAGCACAGGAAAAAGAAAGAAGCCAGAAAACTTAGCAAGCAAGGTTATCCCACCTTCTTCACCTGCTTTGTTCTAGCTGCATTGGCAGCTGACTGGATGGTGGATTGGGTGGGTCTCCCTCTCCCAGTCCACATATTCAAATGTCAGTCTCCTCTGGCAACATCCTTACAGACACACCTAGAAACGATACTTTACCAGCCTAGGCATCTTGCATTCCGTTCAAGTTGACACCTAATATGAACCATCACAATGGCATTATAGACCTATTTATCACATATCATTAATAATCTCTAAAGATAAGAGATTCTTGTGGAAAAAGAATTTAAGGAAAAACAAAATGGTTTTATTTATTTAAGGAAAAACAAAATGCTATTCAAGGAAAAACAAGATGCTATACAATAACCTGCATAACGAGAGTAAAATGAAATATGACTTATTTTGTAATTTTAGACTACCTATATGTTATTTTATGTTGAGTTCAAAATAACTCAGAACAACCAGTTTTCAATCACATATTGATATGAGTATATCTAGGTAGAACCAACTAATTATACTCATGAATGATATAGATAATTGGTAATTTAATATATAGGAAAAAATGAAAATTTGACTGATGTTTAAAATTAGTAACAAATATCAGAATAATAATTTTTTTCTTTCTTTTTTTTTTTTTTTTTTGAGACAGAGTCTTGCTCTGTCGCCAGGCTGGAGTGCAGTGTTGCGACCTTGGCTCACTGCAGCCTCTGCCTCCTGGGTTCAAGCGAGTCCCCTTCCTCAGCCTCCCAAGTAGCTGGGATTACAGGCCCACACCACCATGCCCGGCTAATTTTTTGTATTTTAATAGAGATGGGGTTTCACCATGTTGGCCAGGATGGTCTTGATCTCCTGACCTGGTGATCTGCCTGCTTTGGCCTCCCAAAGTGCTGGGTTTACAGGTGAGAATAGTAATTTTTAAAAGCATGTGCAGTGGGACGAATGGCTCAGAAAATCTGCAGCTAGCAGTCTTAAGCTTACTAGAAATCTCTGATTAACCCGGTTAAGTACAGACAAGCTTATTGGAATAAGAATCATGGAAATAATAGGTGAAGCTAACAAGACATGTGCATAATTTACATTGTACATACTTGGAATGTTTAAGAAATTTTGACCAGTTAGAATGACACACTTACACATCCTATTTTAAATAAATAATTGAGTATTTGACTAAGAATTTTAATTGAGTCTTAATTTTACACAGAATATTGGAATGTCTAAGAGAGCTTTAGATTTATTATGTTTGAAGGATATAAGCCACTAAAATAAGATTTATGTAACTTAGACAATTGCAGAAATTAAAAAGAATATCTGATACATTAAGTTGACAAACATGGTTTAAAATGTTTGAAGATGTTGAATTAACAAAGTTTATAAATGAGACCAAAATTATTAAACATTTTTTTAAAAGTACTTAACTGTGGTACACTTATCAATATAATAACATGTGTAATCTGAAATTTAAAGTTTGAGAACTAGTTTTAAATTTGTAACTTTAATAAACTGAACCCTACCCTCCTCTAGGAAAATAAAAGAATGCCTGTGTACGAGGAAAAACAACAATGTTTTTGTTCTTTGTACACTCTACTCAACACAGAACACATTTGTGACCAGATTTGTGGGGATTTTTTCCCACACCAAGCAACTTGCCAGCAGATAGCACCTAAGTATCCTATAATTCAGTTCAATTCTGACACTATAATCTGGAAATTGTATCAGATTTCACATGTTAAATCTGTGAAAGGGTTAAAGGCTCAGTCCCACAAGACTGTCCCCTACTTCAAATGCCAATTGCAAGTCCCAGATTGTGACCTATCCAGTTGTAAATTGGAGTTTCCATAGCCCCTCTCGTTAATTTGATAATTTGCTTGGACAGCTCACAGAACTCAGTTAAACACTTTAATTATGTTTACCAGTTTATTATAAAAGACATTTGTTAAAATGCAGATGAAGAAATGCGTAGGATGAGATTTGGGCAACATGGAAGCTCATCAAATCTTGTTCAAAAGTTTCTATAGAGTTTAATCTCCAGCCCTCAACCCTCTTTCTGTAGGTCAGTAGGTGGGGCTGAAAGTTCCAGCCCTGTAATCACTTGGTCTCTCTGTAGACTGGTCCCATCAAGAGGATATCCAGGGGACCCACCCTTAGTAATCATTAGCATAAACTCAGAAGTTATCAGAGGGGATCAGTAACAAAAGACACTCTATCACTTAAGAAATTCTAATGGTTTTAGGAACTCAAGACAAAGACCAAATGTGTTTCATATTATATCACACTTTATTTTTATCAGGTAAAGAACAGTTGAACAGTCCAATAGAAGATAGGAATATCTATCTTTTTAGATATCTACTGTTTTAGATCATATTATGTTTCATATGATAGAAAACCCATCATAACAGGAGTTCAAACAAAGTGTTTATTCCATTATGAAACAGAAGTGTGTAACTAGACAATCTAGGGCAAAAATGTTAGCTTAAAAAATGGCATCATTGATAAATTATAGAGAGAAGTAACATTTTTAAAATACAAGTAACCTTATCATTCCAAAAGAACACAGAGAATATGAAAACAAAGGCATGAAAAAATATAATAACTATATATCAACTAAAATGAAAATAAGATCCCAATTTCAATCAGAAGAAAAAAATGAATGCAATATCAAAAGTGTCATAAAGGACAAAGAAATATATGTTCTAGGAAAAATTACTGAATTCAAAATATATAACCATTACTACCACTTCGAATTAGACAGTCTGTACTTTGCACAAAGACTGGACCAAAAGCCAAGAAAGGGCCAAACTGTAGCTAGAATTTTGCTCAATTGTATGCTCATAAGGCCATTTCTGTAAAGAAGCAGTACTTTTTCAAATTTGTCCTGAGGCATTATAAAAACTAATAAAAATACCTGGGTATAATGATCATGGACAAATTTGTTCCTTAACATATGAAGAGCTTCTAAAGATAAGAAGCAACAACTGGCAGGGTTATAGAAAGAAAGAAATAAACAATTTTAGTTGGAAGTTTTAACATATCCCTAATGGAAATCAATAATTTCCATTTTTCCCCCCCGCAAAAATTAGCAATGACTTAGAAGGTTTGAATAATGTCAAATTTATTACGTGACTCAACTATGCTATATTTTGTATATGTATCTTTTTGTGTATCTCAATATAAAATTACATACCATTAAAGCAAAGAATATAAATTATTTTTAACACAACATAACTTTACAAAAATAACTGGTAACAGAAACTCGTTAAAAAGTAAACCTCAATAAATCCCAGATAAATCATTTTCTCTGAATATTATTCAATAAACTTATAAAGCAATTTTGCAAAGATAGTTTTTAAATTCCTAGAACTTAGCTAAAATACTGTGAAATAACTTTTGATTATAAGTGAAATAATTAAGATATTAGGAAATATTAGGATTGAATGACAAATGAAAATGATGCAAGCATTTGTGGGACACAAGCAGTATTTAGGAAATTTTTATCTTAAAGGATATTTATCAAAAAATAGGAATGCTTCAAAATGATGAAATAGGATATTACCTCACAACTGTTAGAATGGCTCTTATCAAAAGGCAAAAAATAATATGAGATGGCAAGGACGTGGAGAAAAGGGAACCCTGGTACACTATTGATTGCAATGTAAACTAATACAGTCATTATTTAATGAAAACAGTATGGAGGTACCCGCCAAAAATTAAAATGGAACTACCATATGATTCAGTAGTTCCACTACCAGGTATCAAAGGATATGAAATCAGTATGTCAAAAAGGTACCTGTGAGGGGACAAAGCAAGATGGTGGAATACCTACATCATTCATATCTTCACAGGAATACCAAATTTTACCAGCATTCTGTACACTGAAAAGCACTATCACAAGACCCAAAAATCAGGTGAGCAAACACAGTACCTGGTTTTAACTTCATATGATTGGAAGTGACATTGAGGAGGGTTGGAGAGACAGTCTTGAATCACCAATGCCATCCTTCTCCTATCCCCCACCAACAGTTGTTCAACATGGAGAGTCTGTGCATTTGGGAGAGGAAGAGCGCAGTGACTGGGGAACTTTACATTGAACTCAGTGTTGCTATGTCATAGCAGAGAGCAAAGCTGTGCTGGGCTCGGCCAGTGCCTGGATATGGAGGAAGCATTTGGACCAGATTTAGCCGGAGAGGAATCACCCATTCCATCAGTCAGAACTTAAGTTTCTTAGCAAGCCATGCCACAGTGGGACAAAGTGCTCTGGAGACCTAGGTAAACTGGAAAGGACACAAAGACTACAACTCCTGGGCAGCACCTAGTGCTGGGCTGGGCTCAGAGCCAGAGGACTAGGGTGGCACATGACCTAAGGAGATACCAGATGGCATGGCTAAAGGAGTGCTTGTACCACTCCTCCTCCAACCCCAGACAGTGCAACTCACAGCAATTAAAGTGTCTCCTTCCTTCTGTTTAAGGGAAGGAAAGGAAAGAGTAAAGAGGGCTTTGTCTTGCATCTTGGATACCAGCTCAGCCACAGTAGGAGAGGGAACTAGGCAGAGTCATGAAGCCCCCATTCCAGGCCCTAGCTCTGGCATATTTCTAGACAAACACAGACCAAA